TAAGAAATATTGGTAAAAGCCTAGAACAAGCAGACAGAAACAAGATTATTAAGAAGAAGAATGCAATATAGATAATGAAGATTAAAGACCTTGTCAAGATAAAAAATATTCAAATAGAGTTAGTTAAAGTTAAAAGTTATACTAAAGACAAATAAAATAATAGAGTCGATAGTTTAGCAAAAAAGGGAATAATAAGTAGGAAAATAGTACAAACTAGAAAAGTCAGTTGTAAAGAGATAGAGTACTGTTTAGAGTAGGAAAATAGAAGAACAAATATACTAATAAGACTGCTTTGCAAGTTAGTAATATATGCAAGACTAGAAGCAAAGTAAAAAAAAATAAGAGCAGTTAAAAGTTTAGAGCTAGAAGCAGAAATCACAATTTATAATTGGACTTATTTTTGGAAAAAACTAAAAATAACTAAGAGAATACACTGCACAACAAGAAGAAGCAACTTCAGAAGAAGTACATTTATTAAGTGCATAATAGATAAACTTCTGACCCTAGAAGAACTTAACAGAAGAAGACCAAATATATATACAATAGTAGAATGTCAAGTATGTCAAGATAAAGTAAAAGAGATGCAAGCATACTTGGCAGCATGCAAGGGGCAAAGAAATCTCTAGAAGAAAATCCAAAAAGTGACTATTGCAACAGTATGAAAAAAATTAAAAAAAGAAAAAAAGACTTAGATTCCTTCATATATGTTATATACAGTGCTTTTTGGAAAAACAGAGACAGAGAAAGTTAAAATAAGAGAAGCACTAATAAAAGGCCTAATGGCCTAGAATATATTCTATGAACAAGTATAAAAAATGCATTGCAAAAAAATTATTAAATAAGAGAAAAAAATTGAAATAACAGATAAAATTAAAAGGAAAAAAGCTGAAAAGCTAAAGGAACCAAAAAAATGTGAAATAACAAATAAGAAAAAAAAAGAAGAAAAAAAAGAAGAAATAAGAGAAAAAAGAAAGCAAGTTAAGAAGAAAGTAATAAAGACAATGTTAAGGCTTGTTATAAAAGAGAGAAGACCTTTCTATTATGAACTTTAAGTAGTTAAACAAGCAGCTTACTTTTGTTTGAAGTAATGCAGCAGGTTGCACTTAGGTACTATTAAGGTAGCTAGGTAATGCTAGACTTAGATATTAGAAATATTTATGTAGTTACAAATGTAATTCCAAAAATCTAATAAAGTACTAGCATGATTGCTTATATTAAAAAAAAAAAAATTATTAATAGTATATTCAGCTAATAGTTATATTACAACTACAGAAAGCAACTAAAGAAAACAACTAAAGAAAAAGTATACAACTAGCTACTTATACAAATTTAGTTATTGTTTAATTTAAGTAGTTTATTTAAAAAGTTTATATTAGCTACTATATTTAAAACATCTTGTAAATTCTTTATTTAAATACTTTAGTTTTTGTATTTACTATCTATTTATACTTATCAATAACCTTAATCTATACTAGTAAAAATAAATAGTTTTTTGTTTTTTTTCAGTTTTATAGATTTATATAGTTACAAAAACTTATTTAAATTTGTATTATCTAGTATTGATTTGTATTTTTTTATATAACCAAGGTTATATATATAGCTTATAGCTTGCTAGTTATATTAATATAATTATAATTATGAATATTTTATTCTAACTAATTAACAGAATGTTATTACTATAATATAGATATATTCTTTAAATTTTTGTTTTTAGTAAGTTTTAAACTTATAATATATTACTTAAAAAAATAACAACTTATTTATTTTATTAAGTTATTATATATTTATAATTTTTTATATTTAATATATTTATTATAAATTTTTTTAAAAAAGAATAACAATTTTAGTATAATATTTAGGTTGTTATTTACCAAGTAGTAAGTTCAAAGTTTAAATTTTATTGGTAACAAAATTAGAAAAATTGATCATATTTTAGTAACTTATTTGTAAAGTAGAATTAATAATTCTATAATTCTAATTATACTAAAACTAATTTTAATATTATATAATATTATATAAATTTATTTAAAAAAATATATATATATTTAATAAAAAACCTATTTGAAAATTTTAAATAGAAGTGTAATATGATTTTTAACAATATTATCTATAAAGATCTTAATTTAAAGAAAAAAACTTAACTCTTTCTGATGATCATTTGAACCAAACTTTCCAAAAAGCCAAACTACAGAAAATGATATAATTAATATATTAAACTTTATGAAAACCTTTCTGGAGTACTGTATATGCATTGTTGAACATTGAAATAGAGTTGAAAAAGAGTCACAGCCTTGTGGTAATAGTTTAAAAAGCACTTTAGGACTATAGAAGAAGTAGTCAGTAAAAGCCAGGGTTTTTTATTAAGTAAACAACAAAGTTGGATATATTAGTTCTATACAACTATAAAACCTACAAGAAACACCTACAAGGGTTAAGAACTTACAAAAGCTAAAAGTTGGTTCATCTAGCATTCTCACTTTTTCTTTGAGAAAAATTTTGTAAAAGTGGGTGATTCAGTTTACTCTCTCTTAAAGATTGATATGTAAAATTGCTAAAACAGGCAGCAGTGTTTACTTCCTAAACAGGATTGTTTATGACATAGATCAGAAATAATACAGCAACACAAACACAACTATACACATGCCTCAAGCTGCTGAAAATCTGTCAAACGCTGCCTCCAGACTAACTAGTACTTTATACTAACTCTCTATAATAAAGTCAAAGTTTTTTTCTTCTTCTTTGGTTTTTTGTTTAAATAATCTACAGGGAAGTACTATGGGTTACCGAACGGTTTGTCCGTGCTGCAATAAAAAATTTTTCTACATATTAATTGTCAAAAATTTACCTATATTAGAATATGCAAAATGATCTCGTTCTATTTATATTAAAGAAAAAACCTGATTACACATATTTCATTCAAAATCTGGATTAACAGATCACTGATTATTAAAAAATAGCTTTACAGGTTAATAAAAAAACCAGCTTTAATACAAGTTTAAAAATAATACTATTAGAATGAGATCAACTTTGTGAACATGAATAATAATAATTTTTTGTTAGTTTAGTTGTAAATAAAGTTCCAATGATCATTAATTTAAAAATTTTGTCCAATAACTTTGTTACTAGATTATAGCTCTATTTTTGAAATTAGATAAACATTTAAGGTCACATTAATATTAAAATTTCATGAAGAATATTTTTTATTAATGCGCAGTAAGGTTTTATATAGGGCAAATTTTAAGTTACAACCATTCTTTGGAGCATTGAAATTTAATATTCAATATTAGTTTGTCTATTCATGTTGACATCAGCAAATTTCAAATACTATTCAAGTTCTTTTTTTTTCATTCTTGCCCATGCTTATGCATTTCTGTAGCAGAATCTATTACTAACTTGTCCATCTGAATTGCTATTTTAGTAGTATTTACTATTAAGTAAGAATTTAACATATGATCTAAAAAAAAAACATTGTAAGTAAGCATATAATATATCAACTAGTTTTATATATTAAAAACAATAATGTTTTATCAATTTATACTAGAGGGTTATTATTATCCACTAATGTTTTTAGGCATTGACCCATTGTAGTATTCCAAATACAATTATATAAATCTAAAGCTCAGATTAATATAACATAGAACACATATATCATTATTGTACTAAACTTTCTTATATTAGACCATCATAACTACATAATACAATTATTGTTTTGTCTCAATTGCTAAAACTGGGTCGGAATGAGTACTACTATGTAAATTAATTAATGTTAATAATTACTTAGTACATAATATGATTTGTATAATCATACTATTTCTGAAATCCCAGATTCTTATACTTTAGTCAAAATAACTAGACACAATCAAACTAGATTGTGGACTGTAATTAGTGCAAAAGACGTAATTCAAATATCCTTTGAGAACTTTGACAGCTTCATTCTGTATTATATACAATCAAGTTAAAGATATAATATTACAAAAATTTATATAAACAGTAGTGAAGCTATTAATTACCTAATTTAAATGCTTTTTTTTAATCTTGGCTGTATCTATGCTATTTTCGTAGCAAAATCTAATATTAACTTGTCTAGCAAAATTCCTCTTTCAGCAAATTTTAAATATGCCTTTTTTTCAACCTTGATTGTATTTATGCTATTTCTGTAAAAGAATCCAATAAAATTCAACATTAGCCTGTCTATTCAAATTGCTACTAACAGATTTCAAGTACTAGTAAATTTCCTTTTTTATACTTGCCTGTACCTATGCAAATTTCCTTTGTTATACTTGCCTGTACCTATGCCATTTATGCAACAAAATTTAACATTAAAATGTTAATATGAATTCCCATTTCAGCAGCTTTCCAATATCAATCAAATGTTTTTTTTTTATTTTGGCTATATACTATTTCTGTAACAGAATCGAACATTAGTTGTCTATTCGAGTTGTCATTAGCAAATTTTAAATTTTTTTATACTTCTATGTACCTAATCGAATTGCTGCCTTTAGTAGTTCTCATGCTTTGTATTTTTGTCATACCAGATTCTGAGAGGAGTCAAGAGGGTAGTACACAAGACAAATAAAATATTTAGAACTGTATAATAAATAATTGAAAGCTGATAATCGAATACATATATTACACAAAGGGTAGTGAAAAAATATAAATTCTAAAAAATAAAAATAAAATAAATAAGCTTTATATTTTAATTATAGTATGTCAAAAGTTAATAATATAATAAGATCTTAATATTATAAATTGTAAATACTTTTTTTATCTAATGTATAAATTATAATTAAGATAATACAAATTAAGTGGTTTAAGAACAGATAACTAAAATATATTTATAAAAATTATTAGAACTAGTAGATAGATCGCATTTAGTTGTTATTAATTTTTATATAAATTGAGCAAATAGAATACTTTGTGATCAATTTTTTTTTGTTTTTTTTTTAAATAGGCTAATATTTTGTATATATATAGCATAGCATTAGTATTTACAATACAATTCAGAAATCAATTGGCCTACCATCAGCACTATAACATGCTTTTACTCGTCTAATCATACTATTAGATAACTTGCGATAACATTTAGGTAGAATCGAATACCAGGCAGCTTTAACTTTAATTTCCAAGTCCTCAATACTTGTAAATAAGTCTGAAGAACTGTGTAAATGTGTTTCAACCTCTTGCCAAAGGTTCTCTATTAGATTAAGGTCTGGACTTTGAGCAGGCCATTTTAATACAGGAATATTAGCATTTTTGAAAACATTTTTAGCTTTCCAATATTTGTGAGAAGTTGCATTATCTTGCTGAAAGATACCTTATCAAGAAAAAATTCAGAACCAAAATTAGTTGTGCACAAAAAAATTTTATATGCAAAGCTAGTGATATGACATTTATATAATACTCATATTTTTTTAGTGTACAGTATGTATAGTAGTACAGTATATACAATAGTACAGTATATACAGTACGTATATATAGTAGAATTTTTTTTTATACCATAAGTTTGAACTATTTTATAATTGTTTCAGAATATTCAGGAACTTATAAATGTTATAGAATTTTTTTTACTATACCTTGTCCATTAGGTACTAATTGAAGTATAGCAGAAATAGCATGTCTTCTTATAAGTTTAGTATAAACTTTACCATTTATAGTACTATAAATAGGAATTATAGATTCTAACCCATGCTATGAGAAACACCCCCAGAACATAAGACCAGGACTATGTCCTACAGTAGGAACAAGACATGATTCATCAAACTCTTTAGCTAGGATATGCCAAACTCGTATATTATGACTTTAATCAAATTATACAAAAAAGGATTCATCTGATCATACTACATTTTGCCACTTATGAGTTGACCAATTCAGATGTTCATCTGCTCAGGCTTTTCATTCTAGTCTATTCTTAGTACTAATTAATGACTTATGACATGCAATATATGATTTAAGACTACATTTTTTTAAAGCATGATGAATTGTAGAAATAGAAACTTTTTGGTTTTTTTCTTTTTTCCATAAATCTTATATTTCTTTAAGGCTTAATCGACAGTATTTGGTATCTTGTATAACCATTTTTCTAAGTTCTTCCAATGCTGATTCATTAAATATAGCTTTTGAACCAGAATGTTTTCTTGGCATAGTAGATCCTGTCTGAGCATACTGTTTCAAAGTTTCATGCACAGTGGTTTTACTGCATTTGATATTTTTGGCAATAATTGCTAAAGAATTTCTATGTTTATGGCCGTAAAGAATTCCTTCATGTTGAAGGTAAGACAATTTTTTTTTTTTTGTCATTAAGCTACAAGATCTTAAAAGTTAAATTTAAACAAATTATCTTTTTATATATAAAAACTTTGGTTAATATAGTAAGTTTAATTTAGTTTATTATACTTTTAATAAACTTGGTAGTTAATACACAATAATAACTGCATTAAGGTTATTTTAACTCAGGTTAAATTAAAATTTCTCTTTTATTAAATTTTATTGTTATTTTTTTTTAATTAATTACTTTTTTTTAATTTAATATCTATTTATTATATCTTTTTTAATTTATTATTTTTTTTTATTTATTACTTTTTTTTAATTTATTACTTATTTATTATATCTTTTTTAATTTATTACTTTTTTTTAATTTATTATTATTATTATTATTTTTTTTTTTTTTTAACCTTAGGCAGTCATGCTAGTACTTTATTAATATTCTAGTAATTACTACAATTATATTGATGTTTAACAACTAAGTCTA